TGGTCATATAGGGTTGCTACAGCCCTTCATAAGTACCGAGCAGCCCTCTCCAACCCCCATGACCTGCAAGCGCTATGCATTCTTCTGGAGGGGAAAGTGCATCCTAGTGTAGTCCATGTTACATAAAATTGGGAGAGTTAGTTTTATTATTACGGTCTTAAGACCAGCATACGATACAATCATAGTATGAAAAAAGGGGGGGGGAAACCAGAGATAATATACAGAATAAAATCTAAATTTAAAAACTTTTAAAATGCGACTCCCGCGACCTAAGAATCAATGCCCAGAGGTCAGCGACTGACCGTGTAATCTCTGCTTTCTTATCTGAGAGAAGCCAGTGAAGTCTTGCTTTGTTCGTATTGATGTGACCAGGTGTCCTATCAACGAATGGGGTAATGGTTTTAAGACGAGCCACTCTGTAGAATGGGCAACTGAAAAACATATGCTCTACTGACTTGACCTCGCAAGAAGTGCATGAACATAGTCTTTCAGGGTAGGGTTTTTTTTATTATACCTGCCTTGAATAACTGGAGATGGAAGGGCAGAACATCTGGCTAGGGTGAATGCCCTTCTAGAGTTCTTTCCCTCCACTGAAGTCAGATACGTAGCCGGCTTAGTGGTACCCAGTGTTCCCTCTAAGCAGAGTTCGTGTGAGCTAGCTCACAGTCTTTTAGCCTCTGACTCACACATTTTTTTCTTAGGCTCAGGCAGGAGGGCTCCAGAGCAAACGAATTTATGCAGCAGCCAAATCACCTGCTCACAACTTTAATGCCAGTAGCTCGCAAAGTAGAATTTTTGCTCACAGGACTCCATAGCTTAGAGGGAACATTGGTGGTGCCTTTGATATTTAGCAGGGTGCCCGCTAAGCAGAGTTGGTGTGAGGTAGCTCACAGTCTTTTAGCCTCTGACTCACACATTTTTGTCTTGGGCTCAGAAAGGATGGCTCCAGAGCAAACTAATTTATGCAGCAGCCAAATCGCTTGCTCACAACTTTAATGCCAGTTGCTCACAAAGTAGAATTTTTGCTCACAGGACTCCATAGCTTAGAGGGAACATTGGTGGTGCCTTTGATATTTAGCAATACCCCGAGTTTTGAAGCCTTAGTGATATCTGATTGTCCTTCGATATCCTCAACTCTTTGTTTAATTAGCCCTTTGGCTTGTTCAATTCCATAGGATAGAAGTCGCTGAGGTGTAAATGGGGAGAGGAGAAGCCGGTGGGGGCATACTAAGGTCTCTGGGATGCCAGTTGCATAGGGCAGCCAGTCTCCAGGTGGGATGTGGAGATCCCCCAGAGTTACAACCAATCTAAGCTGTGGAGTCTTGTGAGCAAAAATTCTACTTTGTGAGCTACTGGCGTTAAAGTTGTGAGCAAATGATTTGGCTAGTGCATAAATTAGTTTGCTCTGGAGCCACCTCCTTCCTGAGCTAAGACAAAAATGTGTGAGCCGGAGGCTAAAAAAACTGAGCTGGCTCACACTCACTCAGCTTAGAGGGAACACTGGTTACAGCTCATCTTCAGGCTACAGAGATCCGCTCCCCTGGACGACATGGATGCTTTGGAGGGGGGCATTGCACCCCACTGAGATCCCTGTCCACCCCAGGCTCCACCCCCAGATCTCCAGGTGTTTACCAACCTGGAGCTGGCAACCCCACCCCTGCGAGGGGGACCAACATGGCTACCCACCATAATCTGTTTTCAGGGCTGGTCTGTGGGGAGGTTCCCAGGCCAGGCTCTCAGCAGTCTCAACTACCAAGATCAATCGCCCCAGTCCACTAGATCACCATCTTACCAGTCTAAGCCCATTGTTGGGTGGGTTGTTGTTTTTTTGGCAAATGTCCAGCATCCCCTTCTCCCTCTCTTACTATACCCCCCAGCCCTTCCCACAACAAGTGGGTCAGTTTAGCCATTTGTGGCAACAGCTATGTCTGAGAGCCATGCTCAGAGGCAGTGTTCCCTCCAAGCTGAGTTAGTGTGAGCCAGCTCAGAGTTTTTTAGCCTCTGGATCACCATCTTACCAGTCTAAGCCCATTGTTGCGTTTGGTTTTTCCCCCAAATGTCCACCATCCCCTTCTCCCTCTCTTACGATACCCCCTAGCCCTTCCCACAACAAGCGGGTCAGTTTAGCCATTTGTGGCAACAGCTATGTCTGAGAGCCGTGCTCGGAGGGGTCCCTTTGATTCTACTGAGGTTGGGTCATCGCGTTTTTCCCCACCGCCAGGCCTGGGGGCTTTCAGGATGAGGGCAGAGCCGGACCAAAGGGCCCGGGTTCTGCATAACTGTCCCCGAACACGGTGCCCTTCAGAGGCTTTACATTGCGCCGAAGGAGCAGGTGGGTTGTCCGAAAAACGTCCCCGGGGGATCTCAAGTCAATCCTTTCCTCCTCAGTCATGCCAGTCGGACAGGTACTGCTCCTCGGTGGTGTTATCAGTCGGGAGAGACGCCTTGGGAAGTGCTGGAGGAGGGCTGGAACTTGGCTTCTGGCTTTTAAAAACATATGGACTTGGCGCGACAGCTGCACTAGTCGCCTCTGGGCCCGCAGCACCTGCCGGCAAAGTAGATCCTCTCCCCTGCCTTCTCGCTGCAGTGTGGTGGTGGTTCTGCTCTCGTCCAGGTGGCCGTTTGGGCTGGGGAGTCAGCGTGGAAATGGGCAGGTTCCAGGTCCTCGAGTCTAGCACTTGTTGTGGGGAGCGGATGCCTTGAAGGGGGGCACCCTGGGATATTTCTGCAAGAACGGAGTTGAGATCTGCTGACAGGATGGGGTTATTATCGGTGGCAAACGCACAGACGTCATACATTGTTTGGTGTGTGGGCCAAAAATATAGTGGTCTGGGGGATTCCCTGATTATGTCCTTGCAGAAACCACTGGCAACTTGGTCTTGGTAAAAAGCGATTTCTCTCTGTAACTCGGAATGGGGACTGCTGAGAACTCCCCCAAGGCTTTTGACTAAAGGACAGCTGAGGTTTTAAACTATAACAAAGGTCGCCTTCTGACAGCTGCCATTCCCTCAGGGCCGGCCCTGGCTTATTTTGCACCCTAGGCAAGGATCCCTTCTGGCGCCCCCCCTCCCCCATGTGCCCACCATGGCTCGGACCCGTTAATTGGATCTGTGCCCCGGACCCTCCCGTTCCCCTGGAACCCATGCTCTTAACACTCACTTTTGCTTTTGTAACTTTGCCTGCTTTGTGCATCTGGCTTCCACCAAGGAAGACTCTGCAAAGAAAGGCACTCGTTGCAAACAACCTCTGCTTCTCACTTGCCTTGACAGTTCCTTGCTGGGGTTGCCATAAGTCAGTTGCAACTTGAGTGTCCTTATGTAATAAGCCCCCCTACTTAGATTATTCTTTTGACTCAGCTGAGTGACCCTTCTGTGCCCAGAGGGCTAAGTTCTTTGGTGGAATTGGTGTTTGTAACATCAGAAAGATCATAACATGTTTAAAACTCAGTAGTGTTTGCAGCTGAACCAGGACAGTGGGGTGTGTGTGCCAGTTTGGCGCCCCTAAGGGCCGGCGCGCTCTAGGCGAGCGCCTAGTTCACCTAGTGAGTGAGCCGGCCCTGCACTCCCTGATTCATTTTAGGAATCCCGGATAGATCCAAACCCACCTTCCCTTTCCATGGCTTTCTCCACCCAGATGTCCAGTACAGATGGTAGCCTTGAGAAAGGCTACTACTTGTTTTATTTTACTTACGTTACTTCTAGTCCCCCTTTCTCAAGGGACTCGAGGCGGATTGCAGCGTGGGTCAGTGCAGCCCACAAAATGGGACGTTCGATAACCAAACGCATTTGGGATTTTCGAAGTCTGGAACCACCAGAAAGAACTGAAGCAGGGCAGAAGGATTCACCCATGGCAGTGTTAAGCAGTACAGAGACCACACACATTTATTTATGTATTTTTCACATTTATATTCTGCCCTCCCCGTGAACGGGCTCAAGGCGGATCACAATTCACACCTAGACTGGGAAGTTGATAGTTCGGCAGTTCGAGACCCGAGTGTGCCACGTGACGGAGTGAGCTCCCGTCTCTGGTTCCAGCTCCTGCCAACCTAGCAGTTCAAAAGCAAGAAATTGCAAGTCAATAAATAGGTACCGCTTCCGTGTGCCTCAGCATCTAGTCATGCCAGCCACATAAAATGTCTCCGGACAGCGCTGGTTCTTCAGCTTGGAAACGGAGATGAGCGCCGCATCCCTAGAGTCAGATTCGACTGGCTTTCGAGCAAGGGAATCCTTGACCTACCTTTACCTGTATACAGGCAGTATAGACCACAGTCCCTAATCCAAGTTTATAAAACCATTTTGTATAGTGCTGTCCAACCACCTGCGCAGGAGAGCCCTCTTGAACAGTTCGGTTTCGCGAGCGAGTCCCTTGCTAACAAAGCAGGACACCCTGCCCCTGAGGCTATGGAGACTGGCTTTACTGTCTCCCAGCCTCGCAGAATTAGCTACCTTTGGTGCGGGCCGCCTTGTCCGGTCTCTCAGCACGTTCTCTTTTGTGCCTTCTCAGGAGTGCAGCGGCCTTGGGGAGATGCCTGGATCCTTTGTGCCGACAGTGACTGCCATATCGACTAGCCAAGACCTCCAGTGGCTGGTTCAGCCCACCCTGATCTCGTCCATGGCCCAATCGCAGCAGCCTCCAGGCCAACAGATGCCTCCGCAGCAGCCGCCTCCGCCTCCGGTGGACCCCTACGACCTCCCCGGCCCCAGTTATGCCGCTCCGGGCATGGGTGTCTATGCCGGAGGGCCTTCCACAGCCCCCGTCGCTGCCGCCCCGCAGCGTTCCGCCAGGGCCCGGCCCCGAAGGACGCGGGAGGAAATGGTGAGCTGGGAGGATTGTAGGGCCTTGCTTCTCCTGTGGAACTACCTCTGGGGAGCCGGCGACGAGGTTACTAACTCCAATAATTTTGCACCCTGCACCTTAACCCTGCTCTGTGGGATACCTTCACTCCCCTCTTCCCCAGCATGCTGGAAATGTTAAGCTACTCCTAAAACGCAATTGCTGCAATTGGGGGTGGGAATGCCTCTACAAGACTGGGTGGTGCATGCTCTTCTTATTTTGCTGTGTTCTGCCCCCTCGGGTGATAGGACTGGTTCTGGCCCCACTGGTGGACGTCCTGGTGGCCCCTGGGTTTTGCCCCCTGTGTGCCACAGACTGCTGGGCTGGATGGGCCATTGGGCCTGGTCCAACATTGGCTTCTGTCATGGCCTTATAGCTGGGGCATGCTCTGTCTTCTTGGTGCTTGGGGGGGCAAGAGTGGGAGGGCTTCTGGAGTTCTGGCCCCGTTGGTGGACCTCCTGACGGCCCCTGGGGTTTTGGCCACTGTGTGACACAGAGTAGTGGACAGGATGAGCCGTTAGCCTGATCCAACATTGGCTTCTCTTATGTTCTTAAGGCTGCCGTTTCGGCTTGGCTGGTTCCGTATCGCTCATCTGCGCAGCAGCTAGAAGCGAGCAGGTCCTGACATCTCCAAGCCGGTGTCCTCCGTTTGAAAATCTAAAACTTGGCTACGTGCTGCTTCTAGCTGAAGCGGCCTGCCCTTTTCACTGTGTTAGGGATGGGGAAGGGGGTATCTTTATGGCATGTGGAAGCTGTTGAGAAGCCAGCTCCGGTAGGCCAGGAAGTAGACCCTTGGGTTGAGCACAGAGATCAGATCCAGGTCCCTCCACAGAGGAGCATCTTTCCGGCTCTCCTCAGTGGCGCAGCATTTCCATGGGCATTTGCGTTTTCCCTTGGGATGGCATCTTTGTCTAGGGAAAGGGAACTCCTCAGCCCACCTTCTGTCTGACTGACCGCCTCTCTCTTGTCCCGGGCAGCTAACGCCAGAAGAAGAGGAGAAACGCCGCGTCCGCCGCGAGAGGAACAAGCTAGCGGCGGCGAAGTGCCGGAATCGCCGCAGGGAACTGACCGATCGACTGCAAGCGGTGAGTAGCCGCTGGTTGAGGCTGTGACTTTCTGGTTGGTCTGAAATGTCCTTCTCGGGGGCCGGCCTTCTTTTGAGCTTCACCCCGTCTGCCCCCCCCTCCAGTCAAGGTCTGGGCTCCCTCCACACTCAGAGTTGGGGAATTGACTGAATTTTGGTCTTGTTCAAGGCCAGCAAACTGACCCTTTTATAGCTGGCAGCCACCTTGAGAATCCCCATAGTCAGGGGTCATTTCCTGCAGGAGCACACAGGAGTGGAGCTCCGGCAGTAAAGAGCCCAGGGGGCGGGCACATGCAACAAGCCCCACCCCCTGCTCCCAGCAGCCCTCAGTCAGAGCAAGAAGCAGCCAGGTAAGTTGCA